TAGCTGAACATTGTCTTGCACCTGTAATTTCTTTGTTGACTTCTGGTGTTTTAGGCTTTTGTCACATCCTTGGTAGACATAAATCTTTATCTCTCTCTGTTTATTTAAAGCTAAATTTGTCACCATCATTAGAATACTTGAACCAGGACTTTTCCATCTTCTGGAAATGTTGCTGGACATGAATTCTATTATTCCCCCTTAATTCTTTTTTAATAGAATCTTCTATCATCTGTTCTGTGATATTGTCTCTGATCAATATGAGGTGGAGAGGCCAGTAATTACCTGGGCTTCTCATTCACCCTTGAAAAATTCATGGTTTTCCTTGGATTGTCTGGACCCCTCAAGGAGAGGAATGATGGTGAAAATCAAGGATTATGGTGTGGAGTTGGAAACTGGTTTAGTGATGGAGCAGAGTGTCCACACTGCAGCTTCCACCTGAATTCAGGGCACGTGAGGGTGTGAAAAACCAATTAAAGCTTTACATTTATAGAATAGAATTTATTCAGAGCTCATCCCTCCAATCTAAAACCTCAGAAAAGGTATTAAAAAAAATGAATTAATTTATCTGTTACCCTGGCCACTTGTGTTTTATTGTTCAGGTCAATCTTGGGCATGATAAAAACCCATCCAGCTTGTCCTGGGGCTCAGCCAAGGATGGAAAATGTGGATGTGGAGAGTCCCAGGAGCAGATTTGTCCTTGTGCCAGTGCTGGAGTTGAGAAGGACAGAGCAGAGCGAGTGTCACCAGCTCCACAGGCCACACACACTGCCCTGACCTTTGGGAATTTGGGAATTTCATTACACCTCCAAATCCCACAACGATTTCTTTTTTAATAAACCACCTTCTATTCATTTTTCATTCCCAAAGGATGCAGGGTGCTTTGTTCTCCTGCATTTCTGGACAGCTTTATTTGTTTGAGGGATGTAAACACAGCCCGTGGCTGGCAGGATTCAGGCACGGAGCACCAAGTCCAAATCCTTGTTCCACACGACTGGGATGCTGCAAACTTTACATAAATCTCATAAATCTTCCTGTGCAGCCACGTGATTAATGTCTAACGAGGTTTTTGACTGATGCCTCAGCAACTCCTCATCAGCTGTTGTGGGACCAAATCTAATTCCCTGACTTGGCTGCTTCAGGAAAGTTCCTTTCGCTTGCACAGGCAGGAAGGGTCTGGTTTTTCGTGGCTTTTAAGTGGATATTTTTAATATCTGGGGTTTTTGTGCATTTCAAGTGGATTTTCAGGTTCTGCCTTGCTGTGGTTTTTAGTAAGCACAGGGCCAGAACACAACTTGGAGCACTGAAATACGAGATTTGTTAAAATCCTCCACGAGGACAATGAGGGCAGAACAAGTGGAGAAGTGGGGCTGTGAATGGATGGAGGCTGGAGACACTGGGGGAGCACCAGGAGCCTCTGAGTGCAGTGAGAAAGGGGAAACTTGAGGCTGTTTTTTTTTGGAGGCCGAGTGCTGCCAGGGTTTTCAGGCTGGCCCATGAGTTAATATCGTTCATATTTCATTTTTCTGCTGCAGTTTCAAGCCAAATGTGCTGTGTTGAATCCTGGGATGGTCTCATCCCATTCCACCCATCCATGGCAGGGACACCTCCCCCTGTCCCAGGGGATCCAAACCTTCCTTGGACATTCCAGGGATCCAGGGGCAGCCACAGCTGCTCTGGCAATTCCAGCCCAGCCAGCAATTCCTAATTCCCAAGGTCCCATCCCAATCTCCCCTTTCCCAATCTGAAGCCATTCCCTGTGTCCTGTCCCTCTGTCCCTTGTCCCCAGTCCCTCTCCAGCTCTCCTGGAGCCCCTTTATTCCCTGGAATGTTCTGGAAGCTCTCCCTGGATCCTTCCCTTCTCCAGGCTGCCAATTCCCAGCTCTCCAGACCCTGAGCTTGGATCCATCTCCTCTCCAAGCAATTGATGGATCCAGGGCCTTCCCTTGGAATCTCAGCAAACCATGAAGGCTCTCCCTTCCCTTCTCCTCTCTTTTCTCTCCCCATTTTCCATCCCAATCCCTGGCAATGGATTCTGAGTCTCCTGAATCCCAGAATCCTGCACTGCCTTGCCTGGGAAGGGACCTCAAAGCTCATTCCAGGGACACCTCCCAGCATCCCAGGCTGCTCCAATCCTTCCTTGGCCATTCCAGGGATTCTCTGGCAATCCCAGCCCAGCCAGCAATTCCTCATTCCCAAGATCCCATCCATCCCTGTGTCCTGTCCCTCTGTCCCTTGTCCCCAGTCCCTCTCCAACTCTCCTGGAGCCCCTCCAGGTCCTGGAAGGGCTCTGAGATTCCCTGGATCCTCTCTGGGGATCTCTCCTGTCCCCTTGGCTGTGTCCTGTCCCTGCTCTGCCACATTTCCAGTTAATTCCTTCATCCTGAAGAATTTGTGGAGCTCTTGGATTCAGGGCACCGGAGCAGAAGGAGCTTTGATCTGCCTGGCCCAGTTTCTGCTACACTGGAATTTTTTAACTGAAAAATGAACTCCCAATTCCTGTTTCCCTCTTTTCATTTTCTTCGAGTTTTCCACATCCCTGGAAGTGTCCCAGGCCAGGCTGGATGGGGTTTGGAGCACCCTGGGACAGTGGGAGGTGTCCCTGCCATGGCAGGGGTGGCACTGGATGGGTTTTAAGGTCCCTCCCAAATCCAAACCATTCTGGAATTTAATGAATTTTGAGGATAATTATCAAAATCAGCTTTTACAGCTTCTGACTTTTTCAGAGCTTTGTATCCAACCATCCTCCCTGCCTATTTAGTAAATTGTTTAATGAAGTAAATTAAGAATAAATCAACATTTTTCTATCATTTTTCCCAATTTTTTGGGGGCATTTTCTGAATATCTTAGAGCAAACTCATCTCCTGGTTCTCTGTTTCACCTGTTACCCTCAGGGATAATTCATTCTGCTCCCAACCCAAACCTCCCTTGGAGGTTTTGAAGTCCTGGATTTCACACTTAATATTCCCTACTCCTGGATATAATGTGACACCAGACTCGTGGAATCCATCATAAATAGGTTTTCTCCATAATGGAAGAACAAATTGCTTAATGTTTTTCTCCTTTTTTTACAACTTGATTAAGTTTGAGGGTTTAATTAGATTTTTGTGGCGATTTTCAGGTTGTTAATTTAAGTGGAGAAGATGAAATGCAAATAGGTGAATACAAACGGGTTTGGTAAATTAGTGTCAAAAATTAGCACAGTGATTATTTGTACCAATAAACACGAATTTTCAAAGCCTGTGCTCAGGTAAAGTTTTAATTGAGATGGTTTAGGAATCAGATTTTCTGTGTGTTTGTATTATTTTATTTTTTTTCCCAGCCATCCCAAATTGTTTCTAATTAGGGGCACGATTCCATTTGCCTGGATATTTATTCCTGTGTAATTTGTTTCAACTTAGGCAGCACGGGAGTGATGAATTCTTTTCATTAGCTCCAACTCTCTTTGATGGGCTTTGACTGGCTAATTATTCACATGGAACACATTCCCAACAGCCTCTGAGGAGGTAAAAATTCCTGAAAATAAACAGACTTTTGAAATGCACTGACAAAAGTTCATTTTTTGAGGGTTTTCGTTTCATCTTCAGACACAATGAAATTCAAATGGAGTTCACTTGGAGTCTGGTTTTACTTCTGCACCTCAAATAATATCAAATATTGGGCTGCAGAGGTTTCAAAGGGAGCTCCCAGCCCTTCACTGAGTGATTTGGGATTGGAAAATCAATCCTGAACTCCACTGGCAGCTGTGGCAATTCATATTTCCAATGATGAAAGAAGCATGTTTGGGTTGGGAGCTATTCAAGGACAATTTTTTGCAGCTTTCCAGGCTATTTTCCATCACATGTGACCCCCAGCACTCACATGGATGTTTCCTATTTCTCCATATAAATACGTTGGAATTATTTAAGCACATAAATGCATTTATAAACCAAGGTATTTTAACTGCACTGCTGGCTATTGCAAACCTTTGTTTTTAAGAGCATTATTTCTGTTTATGATCAGTGTATAAATCTTACCCACCCTCTCCCCAGGGCTGCCATGGATGGAATCATTTTTGGGAACTTTTTGCAGGTTTCTTTTGGGACCATCAGGGGCTGCTTGGAGCAGAAAAATCCCATCCCTGGAAGTGTCCAAGGCCAGGCTTGGAGCAACCTGGTCTGGTGTTCATGGCCAGGGATGGGACTGGATGATCTTAAAGATCCTTCCCAACCCAAACCATTCTAAGAAATATAAAATAAATTTTTACCAAATTCAAGCCAGACCTCGGGATACCATTTTTTAAAAAAAATAAAGCCACGTTTCCATCAATTGGAATTTCTGTGAGTTTTTAGTTTTCCCACACAAACTCCCAGGCATCCCAGGGACATGCAGATGTTGTTTTAGCCCAGCTGCTGAGTTCTCTCCTGTAAGAGCCTGACAGAGAGATGGAGGCTTCAGCCACTCTCAAAATGTTGTTTATTGCACAGAGGAGGTTCCAGCAGTTGGGGGTGGTGGGTGAGCCCAGAGCTGCTGGTTTTGGCCAAGCTGTGTGTCCTGGAGCCCCTCTAATTCTGGTTACAATTCATTATAAACTTCTCATTCCAGAGCATCTTAACACATGACAACCAATCAGCATCACACACAACACCTTTTACATTTACACACAACCCATCCAAACTGCTCAAATTATTATGTCAGTGACCAGCCAATCATCAGAGTCAGTAATTACATATTAAAGTTTGGGACTTGTTCTGCAGTGGAAATTTCTGAGATCTTTTCTCTTTTGCCTGTGAAAATCCTTTTGTTTGGTAGAAACATCTTTTGTTTGAGGTGGCTTTATCTTTGCTCTAAGCCATAAAAGCCCCTTCCAAATCACTTTGCTCTTTGCCTTCCTCGTTACTGGCTCAGCAATTCTTTTCTTCTATACCAAAACTCGCTTTCGTTCCTATAGAACCTTCTGGATATCTGCACAACTCCTCCATTAAATAAATTCTCATCCTTCCCAACACTCTCCCTCCCTGCAGATGCTGCTGACAGAGTACCTGGACATGAAGAACACACGCACGGCCTCGGAGCCCTCAGCCCAGCTCAGCTACGCCAGCTCCGGCCGCGAATTCGCCGCCTTCTTCGCCAAGAAGAAACCCCAGAGACCCAAAAACCCTCTCTTTAAGTAAGTGCAGGGGTTTTTAAAGCTGTGCCTAAGCTGCCTTTAGTCCCTGGAGTGCTGCTGGTAATCGCAGTTTCACAGTGGGAGAGCTGTGGAAGTTCCAGGGTGGGGATTTAATGCCCGGAGCTGAAGATCCGTTATGGATTCGGCGCTGGGTTTTAGAGCTGAGCTCTTCCCAGGGCTCATTCCAGCACTGGGAATCCCATTAGAGGAGCTGCTGTGATCCATTCTGCCTCTCTTTGTCCGTGGTAAATTCAGGACCTGTTAGAGGCAGAGATAAAGTGTGCTGGACAAAGGGAATTAAGATAACTGTGTAATTACTGCATAGACTAAGCACTTAATCCTGTCACTAACTCCTTTAATTCAGCGGTCAGGCTGCAAAGAATGAAGTGGTTGGGAGGAGAGTGTAAGAGAGAGGAGGATGAGAGAGGCTGGGTGGCCAAGGGAAGGATTTGGGAGAGCAAATTTGTGCAGGGATGAGGAGTGAGGAGTCGCTGAGCAGCGCTGGTGGGAGAGGAGATTCACACCTGGATTTGGGATTTTCTTCTCTTCCACTGCCTACCCGTGCTGGCCATTCCCTTGGGCCTCTTGAGGCTTTTGGAGAGGACCTAAAAGTGCTGTTCTGGCAGAGGTACTCCCAGTAGATGTCCTCTCATAGAACCTGAGATCCCAGTTGGAAATCCAAGTCTTCCACATTCTTTGCTCTCCCAGCTATCCTGTAACTCCAGTTATTAAAGATAAATGTTCCTTAACACTTCCCCTGTCAACCATGTCAACCCATGATTATTACCCATCACCCTTTTTTTTTTAACCCCTCCATGGCTGTTTTGGGCTGAGAATTCCACTTGGAATTTACTCTGAGCAGCAGATGGATATTGAAGCAAAACAGGGCTGCTCATCCCATGTCTGTTCCCAGCTGTACAAGGACCCAAATTTGTGGGTTGAGGACCCAAGTTTGGGGTTTGAGGACTAAGTTTGGGATTAAAATTTGAGGAATGAGGATGCTCTGGCTCACCTGGAGCAGGCTTAGTTTGAGGACTAAGTTTAGGATTAAAATTTGAGGAATGAGGATGCTCTGGCTCACCTGGAGCAGGCTGAGGCTGGCTAGAGTTTGTCAGCAGAGAGGAGGGGGCTGTAGCTGTTCCAGGGAAGGTGAATCACCTGCATCTCTCAGCCCTCCTGGTGCTGTCACATCCCTGCAGTGACAGCAGCACTTATTGGGATCTCTCATTTGCTTATCTGCCTGCTGTCAGCTGTCACCCTATCTATGGAAATCTCCCTCGAAATGGAATTTCTCAGCCCACTGAGGTCTGTACGTGTTTGATGGAGTGTTATTCTTGTCTCCCCTCCCATCTTCAATGCTTCCTGTGCCAGGTTCTTCTCCCTGCCTTTCCATTAGCTCTGTCCAAATCAAGGAGCTCTCCTCTTGCCACCACAATATCTGAATTTCGTTCCTCAGTGTCTCTTAGGGCAGGGCTCCACTTCATGTTTTGCTCCCAGGGGGTTGTAGGTGTTGGTGCTGTGTCCTGTGGTAGCTGTGAGCTCATCTAATTAATATTAAATCTTGAGCTAATTTAATTAATATTAAATATTTCTGCTAGCTGTCTCTGCAAGGAATAGAGGGAAGTTGTGTCCTGCTCTCTGGAAATCAGGAGCTGGTATTTAGAAGAAATTGGAATCCTTATTTCCTTTAAAATGGATATAATTTAAAAAAAAATATTTATTTAGTTGAAATGTTGGCTTGAAAAGGAAAGCTTCAGATGAAGGGGAATTTGGGAATTTGGATAATTCATGCCATATTAAACCTGGCTTTCTTCTCTTCCCAAAAAAGTAGCCAAGGGCATGCTCAGGTTGCCAGCTCAGATTTCTGAGATAGAAATTGGGAAATAAGACAGGAGTGAACTGTACAGGCAAGAGTTGAACACCCAATAAAGCAGTCCCAGACTTGGCTGTAATTCTGTGTAATTCTAAATAAAACCTAAATATTTTGAAAGCTTTGTGGGAGGATCAGCGTTGGGAAGGGAATTACAAGGGTAGAGGAGTTAAGTGGGAACAGGGATGTGGGGAGGAGCAGCTCGAGGAGGTGGCAGAGGAAGGGAAATAAGAGAGAAAAACTGGATGGTTGTGGAAAAAAAAAGGGATCAGATCTGGGTTTGGTGCCTGGAAAGAGCAGTGGCATAATGCTGCTCTTATTGTTTCACTGGGGCCAGAAGGGAGCACGTGGGGAACTCAGAGCCAAGAATTTACAGCTCATTTAATTAAAATCAGAAGGGTTTGTTGTAATTTGATAAATTGTTATTAGTTCACTTGCAACAACACCAACACTCACAGTCCAAATTAAAGCAGAAAAGCCTCATTAATAGTAATAATCTTAACACCAGTGCCCAGGAAAGCTGTGAAATGCTTTCCCCCATCTCTGGTGTGATGCTCGTGCTCCCTCTGGGCAGCACTGAGGCTGATCCCATCTTCTGAACAGTGGGACTGGGGAGGGAAATGAGGAGTTTTACAGCAAATCCTCGACCCCTTGAGGTCTCCTTGTGACAGAAGTTTCCTTTCCAAGCCTGGTGTCCACTGGGGCTGTTTGAAGGTGCTTTGTCTCCCTCTGAGTCCCCAGAGCCCATCCAGGCACTGCCAGGGTTGGGTTTTTTTTTTGGGAAATGCCTGCCTGGAGCAGCAGTGTTGGCCATGGGGGTGTTCCCAGCACTGAGCTCAGGCAGGTCAGGCACAAAACCCTTGGCCAGGGGACACCTGTGGTCACAGGGACACTGAGCTGTCCTGAGTCACTGAGGTGTCAGACCAGGGCCCAGTTTGGGGCCTTTTTCTATAAGTGCCAAAAATCCTCCTGATAGGATGGATTGAGTTGGAAAATATTTGGATTGGCCCCTGTAGAGCCACACAATAAATAATAACTGATTGGTCCCTGATTTCCAGGAGAATTTTACATTTTCTATTCCAAAGAGCTGAGTGGTGAAGAAGGATGCTTCCAGTGCCTGCATTGATTGGATTCCTTTGAATTCCAGGTTTGAATCCTCATCCCATGCCATCAGCATGAGTGCCTACCTGAGGGAGCAGAGGAGGGAGCTGTACAGCAGGAGTGGGGAGCTGCAAGGTAGGGAAAGGGATCCTGTGGTAATTGGATAATTCCCTTCTGCAGGAGCTGGGATGTCCTGTCCAGCCTCTGGCAGGTGTTGATCTCTGCTCTGAATCTCTCCAGGTTTGAAGCTCTTGGTTTTTTTTTATCAGGTTGTGAAGGGTTTCTCTTTATTCTCTCAGCATTTTCAGCTGGAGGTGGAGGTCTTAAAAAATATTTATAAAACAATAGGTGAAATACAAACAACCTCACCTTGAGCACTGGGTTTGGGTATTGGAGCTACCTTGGATATTTATCTGCAATTTATTTCCTTACTGTGATACTTACCCTGCATTGCTTTGAGAGCTGAGCTCAGGCAGCTCAGATGTGAATCTGGATGGATTAAAATGACCAATTCTTTGTGTTTTGTACACTCGAGGAGTTTGCAGATGGTGAATCTGGGGATTTGGGCTGCTTTTGCTGATTGATATTGCCCATGGCAAGTGCTGTGTGTGCCCAGGGAGGTGTTCCCTGCTCCAGGCATGGCATCATCTCACTTGTTTTCCCTCAATAATCCAGTGGTTGGGTTTGGCAGCAGAACCAAGGGAATATTCTAAGACTGCCATGATCACGTACAGCAAGACTGAATTATTTTGTATCATCCATTCCAGTTTCTTCCTGGGCTAAACAAGAAAATAATTTATGCTCTTCAAATATTCCAGCGATGACCAAAGGCAGAATTTCTCCTGGAACTTTTATCCATGATAATTTTCAGCTGGCTTTTCATTGAGAATGTTTTATAATTTGCAAGAGAATTTTTGGATGCCTTCATGTTCACAACCTGTCCTCAACTTAAACCCACAAGGGCGTGAAAAGAAAAAAACAAGCCTCAAGTGACAGCTTGATTCACTTGGGTGAGTGCAGAGGTGATCTCAGCCTTGATGATCAGGGCTGTGATGGTTCTGTGGTGAATTCTGAGATCCTTTTGGATGGACTGAGAGGAAAAAAACCTGAGCTCATGATGTGCTGATCCCACAGGGAAGTGGAGGTACCTGTCAGCTACACTGGCATCTCACCTTTTACACCCTGGCGAGGGGCTGAGCTCACAGCTCTCTGCTTTTTGGGGTTCAGGGTCTCACCTTCAAAAGTGTCACATGTCCAGGATTGGCTGGGAGATGTCCCCTGGGTCAGGGGGATGTGGTCAAGCTATTCCATCCCATCATCAGCTTTTATTCCAGGAGGATTTAGAAGTTACTTCTCCATAGTCGTGAGCTCTGTGGGACAAATGTGGGCTCAAAGCCAAGAATTTTGTGGCTGTTGAGAATTTTGAGGTTTTTGGGGCCATCAGGGAGCCTGCAGCACTTGCCCCAGAATTTCCTGTCCCTTTGGGATGAGTCCTGTTGCCTTCAGTCATTCTCAATTGTCCACTTTGTGGCTTTAAAAACAAGCAGGGAACAGAATTGACCCTCTCCATATCCGTGTCCTCCTCCAGGTGCTTTGTGGCTGAGATTTGGGGCTCTTTTGGTGGTTATTGCTTTGGAAAAAAAGCAAAAGCAAATCCCCAGATGTGGGGATTTTGTTACAGCTGTTACTCTGAGGGTTTTAAGGAGCTCCTGTCCTGGGTTTGGAGCTCGTTCAGAGCCAGGTTTCATGGAAGAGAGATTCCTTATGGGCACAAGACAAATCCTGGGGCAGCCTTTGGGATGAGCAGGACACTGGGAGCATTTCCAGGAGAGGAGGATGCAGCAGAGCTGCTCAGGCTGCCCAGGGTGGGGAAGAACAAAGCCCAGGAGCTGACAAAGGAGTCAAGGACAAAACAGGAATTAGTGTGGAGAGGGCCAAGATCCTGCTGCCCTTTGCAGCTCAATTGTGGAAGAGCCTGGACATGATGCAATAGGTGACAAAAAGTCAGTGTGGGGAGGCAGTGGGGACAATAGATGAGATGAATTTGCTGAGATTCTTTGCAGTTGAACCATCAAGAAAAGTTTCCCTTTGAACTTCACGTTAAAAATGCAGTAACCTCTGTCTCTATTATGAGCTGCTGTTCCCTTTTAGGTTGCTCATTAATCTTCCCGAATCCCAGACCACAGCAAGATCTGCATTTGGATTTTTTTTTTTTATATATATATTTTTTTTTTATTTTTTTTTTATTCCTTTTAAAGAGAAATACAATTTAGTTGTTCAATCAGGTTAGTGGAAAGCAGGCATGTGACACTCTGTCTTCTGTGAACACTGCACAGTTTCTGTTCCCAACAGCCTTATCCACAGGGATGATTTTTCAGTGGCAGCAGGGGGAGGGTGACTTGTTAGGGAATCTTTTTTCCTGAAAAGATCTTCAAAGAAACATATGCATGAAAAGAAAGGAATTTATAAAAGTTTAGCTCACGCTAACTTTTTGAAATAAGAATTTAATTTAAATAGCCTTAAAAATGTGTGAAGATCAGAGTGATGCTTTGTCATTAACCCCTTTGATTTGGACTGAAATAGTGCAGAGCATGAGGCTCACATTATCCCTCAGTGGGAGAAAGGGACCTGCTGCAAGTGATTTAGAGCTGGAATTCTTCTGTCTCATTCCACTGAAATTGCAGGAGAAAGACTTTGGCCATGTGTTTTCCCCTTGAAGTTGGCCACACAAGTTCTCTGACAACTGTCATTATTAAAAAAAAAAAAAAAAAAAGTGGGGGCAAGTACAGAAGTGAAATATTTCCTTCTGGGCTGGTACAGGCTGGGGAGAGCTGGGAATGTTCACCTGGAGAGGAGAAGGATCCAGGGAGAGCTTCCAGAACATTCCAGGGAATAAAGGGGATCCAGGAGAGCTGGAGAGGGACTGGGGACAAGGGACAGAGGGACAGGACACAGGGATGGATGGGATCTTGGGAATGAGGAATTGCTGGCTGGGCTGGGATTGCCAGAGAATCCCTGGAATGGCCAAGGTCAGGTTGGACATTGGGGTTTGGATCACCCCAGGACAGTGGAATTGTCCCTGCCATGGCAGGGGTGGCACTGGGTGGGCTTTAAGGTCCCTTCCCACCCAAAGCATTCCAGGATTCTCTGGGAATACCAGCTGCCACTTCATCACTCGCCCCTCTTCTGGTTTTTACACTTGGCTTCCAGAACAGATTTCTATTCAAAGGGAAATATTTAGGAATTGCACACTCTGTTGAGGTTGGGTTTGGTTCCAAGCAGGTGTCACTCTGTCAGAGTCACAGCCAGGTCAGCCCTGCCCTGCCCTGTCCTGCAGCATTCCCTGGAATGGGAAATGCTCCAGGGCTCCCGTGGTTCCCAGGGACATGAATGGACTCCACACCTGCTCAGCACCTCCAAAAATTGAGATTTGTTCTTTCTTTCCCCCAGTCAGCTCAGAGCACTTCTGCAGTAATTCAGCATCTCCGTGGCTTTGTGGAGCAGGATTTTATTGGGAATGTGGCTGTGGGATGGATTGTCCAGGGAAAGATGATGGGAGAGGAACAGGATCAGAATTCCAGAGTCAACACTCAGTCCCATGTCAGATTCCCCAGGTTTTTATTGATTATTGAAGGCATTGATTTATAGACAGGCTTTTATTGATTATTGAAGGCATTGATTTATAAACAGACAAGCAGGGGCTGCCCTGCCACTCAGGAGGATGCTCCACGTGCTGTTCCTTGAGGAATCACGGCTCCAAATATTTCTGTTCCATTGAAGGATAGAAAATATTCTTGGATTTGGTTTTTTATTTTTTCCTTTTCATTTGTTTCGGGGTTTTTATGAAAAGTTCAGTCTCTGCTCCTGCTGCTTTGGCAACTTGTGGATGAGTTTGTGCTCTGCTGGCTCTGGAATTTGAGACGGGGCTTGTTGTACAAAGAAAGGAGAAAAAAAGTCACCTGACTTCACAGTGAGAGTCTTTAGCAGAACAAAGAATGAAATTTGTGCCCCGAAGCTGAATCCTCCCAACTACTGGACACATTTTGTGTGCTGAACTGAAACAGCAAAAATTCAATATTACTTTATGAAGGTATTTAGGCAGCTTCTGTCCAGGGCATTCCAGGGATGCAGTGCACTTCTTCCCACTTAAAAAAAAAAAAAAAAATTATAACTTCCCCTTGCTTCTGTTTGAAGGAACAGGAGGGGAATTGAATGAGATGATTTTTAAGGATCCTTCCAACCAAACCATTCTGGGTCTTTGTGAAGTTTCAGTTTTTCAGAGGTGATTTTAAATACCCAGAATTTCTGCACAATCATTTTTCTGTTGTTGGGTGTAGTAAGAATATTATACCAATTTATTTATAAACTAAAAATCTCATGCAAGAGGCTCTTGTGGATTTTAAATCAAATATCTAAAAGCAGTTTAGCTGGAAGTGGAGAGCATTTCCACACCTTGGAATGTCCAAGGCCAGGCTGGATGGGGCTTGGAGCATCCTGGGACAGTGGAGGTGTCCCTGCCCCATGGCAGGGGTGGCACTGGGTGATTTTAAGATGCCTTCCAACCCAAACCAGTCTGGGATTTTAGGAACTTTCCAGGTTGCTCACCTCTGGCAAAGAATGGCAGTGAAACAAAGGTATAATGATACAATAAATTATAGTGGATAATTTTTAGAACCTCCACAGATTTATTTTTTTTTCTTGCTGGCTGGGTGATGAATGGAAATTGAATACTCCTCTGCCACAAATCTAAATTTGGGAAGTGGATTTGTGTTACACCCCACTCTGCTGCTCATCCATTCTCCACCCAAGCCTGAAAAATTCCTTACCATAAGGTTTTAAATAATTTAAAAAAATAAAAAAAAATCAACGAGAAACTCTGCTAATTAAGACTTTGACGCCAAGAAACAGCAGCAGGGATCTGATGTGACAAGGGCACCATGTAAGGCCAGGTCCAGGGAAAATGCAGTTATTTGTAGGTGCCTTGTTCCATTTGGATTCACCCAAGGGCTGCTGGAGGGAGCCAGCTGTGCTCAGCAGTGACAGAAAGCGATGCTGACATTTGGGATAATGAAAATTCGGTTCAGCACCTCTCCGAGATGTGGATGATAATGTGTTGTCACTCAGAGGTGGTGGGG